CTAACATACTTTATTTTATTTTATTTTCTTACAAATTTTTATATTTATGATTATATCAAATTTAGTATTTTATTTATGAAATATTGTGTATATTTTTTATATTTTAAGTCAATAAAAATTCATAATTTCACTTTATAAATTGCCTGTTATTACTGTAAAATTTAACCTATAATTCCTAAAATATGGCCTAAAATTTGGCTCAGAAATCACACAATAATTGTATAAATTCAGGTCAAAAATAGGATAATTATTGAATGAATTACCATGCAATAATTGTGTGATTTATTGCAATTTTTAGCACAATTATTGTATGGTCAAATTTACAGAAATCGTAGTGAATTTAATTGAATGATTTTTCAACAAAAATCACACAGACTTTTTTCATAGGGTAAATAGACTACAAATCATTATGAATCAGATATTATGTGGTATACATGATTTCGATCCATGTAAATATACTGTATAAACAGTGTCTCGAATAAAAATGAATCTGATATTTTATTATGATATACTTGTTACAAACTGCTATAAAGCTATAAATTGACAAAAACGTTATAAATCACTAAATTTGGTTCTACACCAGTAAAATGGTTAAAATTAACTACCATTCTGGTTTAAATCCTGTAGTAGTACAAGCAATAACTAATCTGTATTACAGATATAGCAATAAAACGCCAAAAATGTGGTATTTCCGAATTCGTATTCTATTTAGGAAACTTATCGAATATAGCCCAACATTCTTCTCAAAGAATGAATATATTTATATAACTAAAAAATTATATGAAAATGGGGAATTTAAAGCTGGAAGACGCTCATTTTATATTTATTGCACTGTATATATGTGACTCATTGGTGTTTATCTGTGAAAATACCATTGAATGTACAAATAAATATCTGAATAAATGCATTGCTAAAATAGAGGAAAGGCATGTTGCATAATATAAATCTGTATTATAGAAATGAAAAAGTAAAAAAGCGCTTAATAATAATGAAATTGGTGAGATTTGTAATAATATTTATTTTAGATATAGAAAAAGCTCTAAATTTTATTGTTCTTGTACTTCAAAAGAAATTAAGAAAAGTGTTGCATATCAATTAATTAATAGTGCAAAAGTTATCCAACGGACTTGGAGAACTTTCAAGTTGAGACCTGAAATATAGGCAAAACAAGTTTGGAATATAGTAAGCACTAGTTAGAATAGTCCATTTCGTCCAAATTTCAAATTGATGAATGTTAGACGAAAGTTGGTCTAAATTCAACCAATCATTGCTAAAAAATTGTCAAAATTATTATGGACGATTTGCACAGTTCGCCTGCCACTTGGCAATCACAAATTGGCAAAAATTCGTTATTATCAGTAAATTCAGAAATAAAACTACAGTCAACTCCCTCTATAGTCACTCCCGTTATAGTCACATTCTACTATATAGTCACACCAGTTGAATGTTCAAAACACTTTATTATTAAAATCTATCCTATAT